TGCGTAGACTCTGATCACGCATTGGTCCGCGCACGTTCATGCTTACGACTAAACAGACATAAAAAATTGTTGGCAGCGAAGCAGCTGCGTCCCCAATTAGGTAGAGACTCTGAGTCCCTATTTAAGGAAGAAATAGCGAAACGAGTATCTGAGATCTATAGCAAGGCTCCTCCTGAGGTAGCCTGGCACAACATACAGTTAGCTGTAGACACAGCTGTAAAAGCTGTTAATAACCTGAAATCAAACGTTACTAATAGCCAGTGGATTTCTACTACCTCATCCGAACTGATGAACGTAAGAGGTCAGATTCCAACGAACTCCGAATATGATGAAGAGCGAAAGCTGCTTCAACGCAAACTAACAAGAAGTCTTCGCAACGACTGTGAACAGTGGTGGGTGACAAAAGCGAAAGAGATGGAAAAGGCATCAGCGATTGGTAACACCAGGCAACTATTTAGGCTTATCAGGGAAACAGGTGGTAAAAGGCAAATGATAAGTGAAACAATCTCTGAGAAAAGTGGCACCATAATTAGCTTCCAGGATAGACGTCTGGAGCGCTGGAAAGAACACTATGAGGAGCAGTTTAATTGGCCTACAGCCACGCTCAACTTACCGAACATCCAACACCTCCCTGAATGGGATATAGACACAGGTCCTCCGTCCCTAACTGAGGCTGTCACTAGTCTGAAACGAGGTAAAGCAGCAGGACCTGATGGAATGACTCCAGAGTATTTAAGACGGGGAGCAGTTTACTGTCTGCGTTAACTGAGGTACTAGGCAGCGTCTGGGAATCAGAGGAAGTCCCGTCGGGTTGGTGTAAGTCATTGATTATCCCGATATACAAGAAGGGAGACAAGTCTTCCTGTGATAATCACAGAGGGATTAGCTTGACTAATATGGTATCTAAAGTTCTAGGCTCAATAATAATGCGTAGACTAAGCGGTCCACGGGAGGGACAAACACGAGAGAACCAGGCAGGCTTTAGACCAGGAAGAGGGTGTATTGATCATATCTTCACCCTTTTACAGATTCTGGAACATAGGCATACTTACCGGCGTCCAACAATCGTCATATTTCTTGACATGAACGCGACATTCGATTCCGTCAACCGAGAGGTACTATGGCGATGTTTGGCTGTGAAAGGAATACCGAGAAAATACATTGCACTGATCAAGGCACTCTACTCGAACTCATGAAGTCAGCCAGGTGAGAGCTTACAGAGAGTTGTCATCTGAAGTGGTGACAACTAGTGGTGTCCGTCAGGGATGCCCACTGTCCCCATTTCTATTCAATTTCATCATAGATGTACTAATGGACTTAACCCTAACTCACTTCAGAGACTCAGGGATTGACTTGTTACCATCAGGGAATAATCTCGTTGACTTAGAATATGCAGATGATATAGTCCTTCTCCAGGTGAAGACGCTGACAAATGCAGAGTCTTCTGAACACCTTGAGCTGCAATCTGCGAATGTTTGGCATGCGATTCGCTCCCATCAAATGTACGATGATGTTACAGGACTGAACTACATTGACTCCTAGCTTAGAAATAGGGAGTGAAGTGGTAGAGCACGTTGACATTCACTTATTTGGTGAGTTGCATCAGCCCCAGCGGGTTGATCACTGAAGAAATCTCAGCTCGGATACAGAAGGCCCGTTTGGCATACGCCAACTTACGTCATCTGTGGCGTGGATGTGACATACGGCTATCGTCCAAAGGACGTGTGTACTGCTCAGCATTCCACCCCATCTTCCTTTATGGCTGTGAGGACTGGCCATTGAGAGTGGAAGGCATAAAAAGACTAGCTGTCTTTGATCACAGGTGCCTGCGTTCTATCTGCCGTGTGAAGTGGTATAATAGGGTGAGCATATTGAGGTTAGGGCTCCGTCGAGTGTTAGGTGGGTGCGTACTGATGAAGAGTCACAAACTAGGACGAAACAGCTGTCTGGCAGTACTCCCAGGTTTTCAAGTGGTTCTCTAACTGATGTCACTCAGCTCATGATGAAATCCTCCAAACAATCAAACAAAATCCCTACAAAAACCAATACTTGACAATTGTAACATACTTTTTGTTTGTCATCATCAACAGCTCCCCGAGTAAGGATTTTTTAAAGAAAGTCAGTGAAACAAAACATATACTGTACTTATAACCAGATATAACCTTATCATCCTTATGTTTTGTTTCACTATGACTTTCTCACAACAATCTTTACTGGAGGACTGATTCACGGTGATAAACAAAACGTATGTTAAAAAATGTATTGTAACTAGTTTTATTGAATGTTATAGGTTGTACGCAGCTGCAGTTACATCGATTGAGATGGTTAGGACATGTGTTACTCATGCATGCATAGCCATCCATCTTCTTCGTCGACGGGCAATGTTAGCTGACATAGGCTGATCACGTTGGAAAAGAGCAAGTTAGTGGTGGTCAAACGGAAACCAACATGGCTACATCGGTCAATGAAATCCACAAGAGTTAGTTTAAGCCAGCCAGCCACGTACGGAGGTGTAGACTTCCTGACTCGCTGGTTAGGTCCTCGGGATGGCGGTAAAAACCAATGAAGGCTGGAGACAGACAATTGGTGGTATGGCTCAAAATCCTCGTTCTCAATGGCTGGTGCCGATGCATCCACTCCTTGTGACTTATAATACCCAATAAAACTATGTTGTTCTTCGATATTACTATTCTTTTTGCCTCATATCTCTGTTTACTGTCTCTATTTTGCATTTCTTCTTCTTCTCTTGCTTTATGTGCTAAGTGAAGTGTGGCGACTTGAAGTGTTGCACATCGGTGCAAAGTTCTATGTTGAAACCAGTCAGTTAGTCCCTTAAGTTCCAAGTGGAACAGAGGGCTTCAGTAGCACAACAACGCGCTGTAACCACTTCCAACTTCCTCCCCGGCAGTCCACAAGCTTTCATCTCCTCTTCACTTGATCTTTTCTGTATCACTGTCGGTCCCACGCACAACTCGTCGTCTCCCATCTGGAGGTTCTTCTGGCCTGTGATGCCACCTAAATGTCTAACCCACCTCCAATTCCTCCTGCATATTTGGTGGCTAGTTCATTACCAGAGTTTCATGTCGCTTATCAATTCCAGTCAATCCTCTGTTCTTCAATATCGAGCCAGTGAAGGCGGATGTTCACGAAAGTCGACAGAAAACTGTTGGAGATGTTTTAGGTGACGCAACAAGTCTCCGAACACTATAGAAGCAGTGAGTTGATGTCAGTATTAAAAATTCGGACATTGTTCACGACGATTTCACAGTAATGATTCGTCATAAATTGGTTATATGGAAAATTCGCAGCCATAAATATAGGATAAATAAGGACATTATGTTTTGTTATGTAGATTTTAATCTTGCTTCATCTTAGCTACTCAACATTCTGATTATCCTCACTGGTTATAAACACATCCTGACAATTATTTCACATATTACGCAATATTATTTGACAGTGTTAATTCCTCTAGCTTCCACATCCCTTTCTGACCGATTGCACGATTCGTATCACCTTTTTAGATAGTGACCTGTCAGTTAGTCAATTCATCTGTTTCTACTACATAATTAAGCAATAGAGTCAAATGAAAACGTATAAAAATACGACTATGCGAATGTAGACAACGAAAAATGTGTTCACGGAGCTTCTTGATTTCCAAAACTTCATCCCCTAGTGTGTATACGTGATTATCACATGGTAGATTGTGCCCAAGGACGTCAGATCTTACGGAAAGATAATCATCGTTCGGTCTTCCAACATAACAATAATTCAATGCAATCTAGCTTCTTGTATAGTGCGAACACCATGTTCATCTTTTATTCTATATTCTCCTCTTAAGTAACGAATTAGCTGTTAACCCAAAGGAGTATGCCACAGTGACTGATCTGATGACGAAAACCCGTAAAAGCTGTTTCTACCGCTTTATTCAAGGTGGCTAACATCGACCACATAAACCCCGATCTAGCTTAAACTGCTTAGTGGTAATAACAACAACTATATCAGCTGAATTTGTTAATCTATGCTCCTAAGCCCATTTCTAATGCTACGGGCAAATCCATGAGCAGAAGAAAGGAGCGTTGACGAGGTCACTGGTCTCCTGATAGAAGGCTAAGACTACGAAACAACGCCTATAGTCAATTATTTCACATAAAAACGAAACATTAATTATCAGTTTTTTTATTATTGAGAGAATTAAAACTGAAGAGATACCTATAACCTGACAAACACTGCTATCACAGAAGTTGAATTCACCAAAGAGAAAAACCCAACTAAACCATTCGGGAAATCTGTTTACTACAATAAATGACGGAATATTAGAAGCTCAAGTTTACATAAAATCTTCTACAAACAGAAGTCAATCTGAAGCAATAATCAAAAAACACTGAATCCACCACCATCCTGAAGGTGAACAAACGAGGACCAATTAGAGCGTTAGAACCAAACAGTCACCAGATGTACAAGTGATACACACAAAGAAAAGTCAGCCATTTATAACACGGTCTCGTGAAAGTTTGAAATCAAAACAAGAACTAACTAACACAACGAAGACAAGAACAGACGACTAAGTGGAACTAAGTCTTCACCTCAAATTTTGGCACTCAGAACTGCCTACAATTCTTTTGAATCCATCAATCAAGACGTTTTGTGCTAATATCTGTTAATAGGAACGGATTACGAAAAGCACATATTTTTACTGAGAGCTCTATACTCAAAGATTCGTGGTCGTCGTATTACTGCTTGTAGTGAACTAAACTGCAAGATATCTACACTGAAGGCTGTCTGTGTTACAGATATATCCTCCTGTTATTTTTCCGCAGATCTCTATCTCTTCACTTGATTTTCCAAGGATAGTAAAGGAATTTCTGGTTAACTTACAGCATGCGAACGATAGGCCTTTTGCGGAAAGATGGTGAAGCGCAAGTTAGCGGTACATTTTAGGATAAGTCTGTTAAGAAAGTTATTAAACTTAATCGTCTCAGGTGCTATGTAGACCACCCAGTCACCAATTTCCTTGACTTGATATATTAGCAGAAGTCAGGAAACATCAACATGTGGTGCTATTAATTCACAGAATCCGTAACTACAAGCTCGGAAAATACGTTGAACTTGAGTTACAGATATTCTTTATCATATTCATGTATATATATAAACTTCAAACAATGAGCAAGAAAAATTAAATGTTTAACTAGATTTTGTTTCAGAAAATAAAGGAAATTAAATATACAATATTTGTCAATAAACTCATTTGTTATTCATTATAACATGATAAAGTTATAAATTAAAGTTAAATATGCAGATAGTATAATGACTGTTCAAGCACTATTGGTTGATTTATTTTCTAGTAAGGTTAAACGTTGTTCCAATATTGAAACAGTCTGAAAGGAAAACAAAAAGGTGAGAAAACAGAATACTCAGCTTTATTATTTTGGCTTAGCTGATTTCATTGAATGATGGAAATTATTACGAGTTGATCACGGACTGATATCAGTTAGAGAACCATTGAAAACTAGCAAGGAGTACTGGACAGCTGTTTCATCCTAGTTTGGGAATCATCGGCAGTACGCACCCCCTGTGATTCAAACCCAGGACCTTCCGGTTACAAGGCACGCTCGTATACCATTCAGCCACTGGGACCCAGTTCAATGGCTCATGAATTCTAACTTCTACCAATTCGTGATTTAGCGCGACCCCAACCATTGTCGTTGGTGGGACATCCATCCACACACGTGACATCTAACTGGACCTCACTGGTCACGACTTTTCACTAGAACTCCAGGAAACTCCATCCTGTAGCAAGTCACTAGCGAGCATCAGATTAATTTTCTATAGTTTGGTTTCACGGACTGATATCAGTCTGTGATCAACTCGTAAAAACATAAATAACCCTTACAAACCAAACTATAGGAAATCATTACATAGTGAGTAAATGGAATAATTAACATGAATTATTCTCTTTATTCCTTTGTATTCCCAATGGAACTTCAAGAGCTTCAAGTTTGCACTTTGAAGTTTCAGTAGCAGTGGTATTTCCTTTTACGGGGTAGGGTTGCTAACCTCACGCCTAACCTTCTTTCTACACTGAGCTTACTGACGGCTTAAGCGAGGTTAAGGAGTGAGTCGGCCGAAGATTGAACCCCAGACCATGTGCGTGTGGTTGGTGAGTATTCCTACCGTTGAACCAGCGATGCTGATTTAAAGAAAACTAAAGTACCACTGTAACGATCATAAGAGATAAGAAGGATTAGTTACAGTGTTCAAATTGTCAGTACGACCGTGAGAAAGGCCAGAATAGTCTATTAACCAACATCACATACAAATGTAACCGCAATGCATTTCAAAATTACTTGAGCTCCTGTTCATGTTGTCCATAGTTTGAATACGCTTTAACTGTAACAGTCTTTACAGCATATCATCTGCTGATAAGTGAAATATTTCTCAGTGAAACAAATGCTTAGTGTAAAAATTATACTCCACTTAGATGCATTTGTTTGAATTATGTGTTATCTCACTTCTGTTGGCTCTTTTTCATGGTAGTCAACTTGAAGGACTATGTTATCTACATACTCTATATCTACGAGACTGTTCCATGATAACAAATCAATCCAAGTCGACTAGAGGTTAAATCCATCAGTATATCTATGAAGAAATCAAAGAAAAGTGGAGACACTAAACATCCTTGATGGGCACAACTGGTTGTCATCCCTTCAGATGACAACTTTTCACAAGCTTTAACACACTACCTTAAATAAGAAGTATGTAAACCTCTCCCTTCAACTTAACAATCAAGAACGGCTTTACGTTTTCCATTAGGAATCACATCCATTACATGATTGTAAGCTATAAACCTGTACGTTGAAAGCTCCGAGGGGAAGAGGCAGAGTTAAATCAAGTAATCTGATAGCTGGAATTTACTTATGATTAATCTACCCAATAAAACTTTATGTTGTAAAACGTAAATTTACAACTCACACATTATGAAGTTAATATTTACCTGTGTTAATATATCCAATTGGGAAACAATATGTTCAAGTGTTGTTGACAATGACGGTGGCAAATTTTGGCGTTCATCATCTAAATCCACAGGCGTCTTAGAATTCCCCTAGAATTCAATAAAAGTATTATCACTCTGAATATCAAATAAGAAATCATTTTTACTACGTTTTTTAAAATCTCAAACTTAGTTCCTGAAGTTCTACCTTATATTTAATTCGGTGTGAAACTTACCACCGGAGTAAACTTATGAGATAAAGGTAGTGACCTACTGTTACATTATCTAAATGTGTGATGACATGGCCCATTGACTTAAGCGCTCGACTTTTCGTCAGTGGATCACGGGTTTGAAACCAGATGTATCTACTTCAGTCTGGGCAAGTGAATGGTATCACCAGTCTTTTGAACAATAAAATGAAGTGTGGCTTATGGTCTGGAACATGAAAGACCTGTTCTGGAAACTAACTTCAAACAAAATATTATCTAAATATGAATAGATGAAGACAAAATAATGTAGCGATTCAGCTTTCTTATCCATGAACTAGTCAATAGAAGCGAAATCTGGTGTTGTGATGACTACATACGAAGTAATACATCAGAAAGAAAGGTACGTCTTCCTATAAAAACGTAATCATTCTTTACTCAACATATCAGTTGATATAACGAGGGAAATTATTTAGAAGTAATGTATATAGCTTTAGGAATAAGCCCGGTTAGTGAGCACATAATCGCAAATTTAATGTATTTGTGAATGTAAAGCATAAGCAGGCTACACTACTCTTCAAATGATCATATGCATGTATACTACAAAGAGTCAAGGTACTTTTACTACTCATTAAACATACGTATATGCATACGAATTGTTATTTGGCTAGTAACCAATATTGGTATACAGTTCTCTGAGTTGACCAAGATCTATAGATCAGGTGTGCAATATAATCAAGTAAGACGACACTGTAATATATTGTGGTGCACTACAATTTAATATCAGAGGTTAACGGAAGTCAATCGGAAGGATGCTAGGAACCGAAGCTTTCTACATGTCGGTACTCATCAGTACGACACACGTACGACCTCAAGAAAACTTAATTTGCTTTCCATAGGCCAAACGTCCACCGAACAGTACTAAAATCACGTGTTTTACAAGTCATGGACTGAATAACTGAGTGAAAAAGTCTCTGCCTTCAGCTCTTAAATCAGCATTGGAACATAAGTTTCATAGAGATGAATACCAACAAGTCCATTGATCCATCCAGTATTTTACATTAAATGTTACAGATGTAGTTGTCGACGCATCATAACTTCTTGTGTGGGATCCGATAGACGGAGTAGTACAGAAAGCTAGAGACTTTATCAGATACGGCTTATAATCGACAATAAACGGTAAACATGCTGTCATCTCTTCATTTGTTTAGATATGTGAACATACTTCATTGAATGCTCTTGATAAGTGTTTTCATTCTCTTGTTTATCAACTGTTTTCTTTTCTTCCCCCCCCCATATTGTTATTTGACTGCTTTCGTGTGATGCATATCCTAGTGCTTATAATGTATCAGGCTTGTATTTTAAGTTTTCTTTAATAAGAGTGAATACGTAAAGGAGTCTAAATGAAATAGCTAATTACCTCAGATTCCAATATTGGTTAGAAGTAATTTATTCGTATCAGCGATTGACTGCTTTACGACAACAGATGCCTATAGCTGTCAGTTTTTGTTATACCAGAAGGTGAAGTATTATGAGTCGTCTTCTCCACGTAACTTGAAAACGTAGACTAAAGGTAAATTCAGTGGATCCTTATTATTATGTGCGAGCTAATCAGAACAGTTTTTATATCATATACTAGTAATTTATTAGTTATTTTCAGGTGTTAGTTTTTAGGGATTTGATTGGTTTCAAGTTGGATCACTGATTCATAGCAGTTAGAGAACCTTTGGAAACTATCAAGGAGTGCTGGACAGCTGTCTTGAACTAGTTCAATACTCTTCAGAAGTATCCACCCATGATCCCAACGGGAATCGAGCCCAGGACCTTTAGGTTACGAGGCAAGCTCGTTGACCATTCTCAGCCACTGGGATAGAATCCAATGGCTCATAAATTTTAGCTTCTGCCAATTCGTGATCTTTAGTGCCACCATCAGTTAATGCCACCGGCTAATTTCTACTTATACCTTCTTTTTTTCCTTTTGCATGGAAAACTAATCTTTGCCTTCCTAGTCAACCTTTTGTCTTCTCAGTATGGGAATATTAATCGAATGATCAGCTGAGCAAAATAAGCATCCTAATATATTTGTGATCGATAAAACTAATCAGGAAAATCTTTAAAAGAACGAAAAAACAACCAGCAGTCTCAAAACAGTCTGAAGTCAAAATATTCATGTAAAACCAAATGCATGGATTGACTGAAAACCTAAAAAAAATATTATCTCGCAAAATAAGGTTAGAGAAACCTATGCCACAGATAATCTATAGACTTCTACCCCAAATAACCACAACGAGGTAACTATTGATTAAAAGCCAACCTTAAAAATAACTTACAAATTGTGCAACATTCAAAGTTGATGTCAAGGGTAATGTACTCGGTGTACTAACTCCAGATTGATTACGAATAGTATGCGGAAAATGACACTTTACTGAGGTAGGTGGATTCAGTGTATCACCAGTAGGCGATTCATGATAATCAACAGTGGTTTCAGGTGTATTAGAGGACTGTTTATCTTCTTTTTCTTCTAACTCGCTTGCATTCATTTGACAGCCACCAACAGAATTAGGCTCAGGACATAAAACTCGACGGTTAATTTGGATAGATTTACTCCGTGATGCAGGATCAGATGTTGTTAGAATACGACCGGGGCTTTTAATCGGACTTTTGGTAGGTATTTCCTTTCCACATTTATCAAAATTTGTGCGCCACAAAAATACCTTGCAAAAAAAATGGAATTTTTTTCATAATATATCTCAAAATGACTACATAGAATACAAACATCAGGAAAACATTTTAGTTCAATGTCTAAATAAGTATGAAGACTTGCTTCTACAATCACCAGATAAATAATTCCATGACTATATTTTAAACAGATTGACAACAATAATAACGCAAGTTGAAAATCAGTCTAGCAACTCCAGCGTTGAGTTAGATGTTACACGATTATGAATGTTGTGAAGGGAGGGGTGTAGATAATTCTGTGAAACATCTAGACAGGCACACAACGCAACAAAGAGCTCTATGTAGAAATGAATCGGTTCGACAGAACACATAACAGAACAGATACATAAATGATAATACAATGAACAAATTGACTGAAGGGAAGTTCTTTCTAAGAATTCGAAACAATCAGTTCCCTGAATGAATTTGTATAGCCTTATTAGAAGTGCATATGATAAATGTTTTTCATTTACACAACACAACCCAAACCATTTCAACATGTATTTATTTCCTAAGTCAATAAATAAATGGAAAGTCGAGGGAAATAATGTAAAGAAACATTTAGGAATGGGAAGAATAATGACAGAAGGATAGCAAGTAGACTATGATACTATAATCAGAAACAGCCTACTTAAGGTGCATTAACGTTACACACAGAAAGGGACAAGTTCACGAATGCCTGTAGTTTTCAAAATTGCTTTAGCAAACAACCTCGACTCACACATACAATGCTTTCGCTATCGACAGACATGGTTGCCTGCACTGCTGAGCATGTAATAGCTTCCTACACCGATTCAGTCTCATGAACAAGTGAATTAAGGCACAGATGCTTGGAGGCAATAGACAAGAAGCCTAGGACCTGGGTTTCATGCTTGTTGCCACTAGTCAGCAAGGTGTACCAGGAATCTTGAAGGATGTAATGACGCTCCTGAGATTCAAACCCGAGTAATCCAGTTGTTTCGTCCTAGTTTGAGACTCTTCATCAGTGCGCACCCACATTACAGGGTTCGAGCCCAGCAACTTCTGGCGAGCTCGTAGACCATTAAGCCGCTGGGACCAGATCCAATGGTCAGTCCATGAATCCTCACTTCTGCCAATTCATTACAGCGCGACCACTTCGCAACGTCTTCTTCAATGAGGTACTGCCTCACCTTCAACTTGCTGAACCCCATTGGTCGCGGGTTCCCACTACAACTCTAGGTCACTGTGTGAATGGGGCTAGTCGCTAGTGAGCATCAGATAGATTTTCAAGTAATGGCTTTTGTAGGGATTTTGTGTGTTACAATCAGTTTTATAAATATTATGGACTGAACTCAGCTGAAGACAACCGATGAAACCAAGTGGATCCATATTATTCTGCACCAACACTTGTTCTATGTTTTCAAATTAGAGCATAGTTTATGCCCCACACAATTTTCGCAAGAGTGGGGATCATTTTATAGTCCTTCTCCCATTAATGACCTGAAACAAAATACTTCACGTCTATCATTGGCTTGATAATGGCAATAATTGAGACAAAGTCACTAATTCATATTACAAGTTACTTATCTCATAACAAATAGTGGCGCAGTAAAACTTTTGTCGTCTTTTAGGACAGGTACTACATCGTTTACATTGATCAACAATGATTAAATAGGAACTGATTACTACGTATATTTTCGTCCTCTATTCCCTCTATTGTGCGTCGGTGGCACAGCGGTTAGGACGCTCGCCCACCATGCACGTGGTCCGGAGTTCGATCCCCGGCCACAGACGCACTCCTTTACCTCGCTAAGCCAGTAGTAAGACTGGTAAAGATGTAAGGTTGAGCATGAGGCCAGCAACCCCACCTCGTAAAAACAAACACCACTGCTACCGAAACTTCAAGCCTCTAGCTTGAAGCCCTGTGTTCCACTGGGAACGTAAAGGAATAATAAAAAAAATTCCCTAATAGTCTTTCTCATGGTTTGCTTGCGTATTCCCCTGTTTTTAGCTATTAAAGTCAATTTATTCAGAATAATGTGCATGGATGTAAAGTCTCTAAATGGCACTATTTCAGCAAATGGTAGCATTTCCTCATACTTTTTCTGTTGCCTGTTCTTTGCAACTTTAAAAGTGATTTATGCAATAAGGCATAAACTAACAAGAAGTTATCCTTCAAATACTAAGAATCGATGTTTGGATTGTGATTAACAAGACTACAAAATATTTACTAGTTAAATTAATAATTCACCTCCGTCCTCAAAAAATGTTAGGTACAGTAGTACGACAGTATTTTATGCATTTAATCGTCTTGGCAATACGAAACATCAATTCAGCCGGTGAAAATGAATACTACTAATACCTGAAATGATTAGAATAAATTATAGTGAAAGCATGTTCAAATAAATAAATCGCTAAAAAGCATTTTTCTTTGTATTCATTTATAAAACTGATATAAATGAACCCTTACAAGTATTATTCATAGTTTATTTTATATGCTATGTAACTTTAAACACGCCAAAAACATCAAGATTGTTTTAGCTAGTTTAGTACTTACCTGTTCATCATTCCCCCCAGATGCGAAGTGATCACCAGAAGCAGAGAATGCAGCTGCAGTAACAGGTCCAGTGTGACCTTGAAGAGTATACAAGGGACGCCCTTCAACAAGATCAAATATCTTAAGTGTAGAATCTTCTGATGCAGATAAAAGAAAATGACCGTTTGGATGACAGGAGACCTTGTGTACGGGTCCATCATGAGCTGTAACCAGGTGAAACATACATCAGTAAATACGAAGACCAATTAAAGCGATACCAAAATCATAAAATAGTAGCTACGACTAAATAACTACGAATCTTAATTTTACACAAAAAGCGACAAAACACCTTGAGTATATGAATCGAGAAACTTTCTTGGTTATTAGGATGTGTCTGTAGGCGAAATCGTAATTCAAAAGAATTTAGTGACTTGATTCTCATGTGGCGAAAACACTGAACAAATAGGCATCTTAGTGATTATATACGCTACTTGACTAACATGCACCTGCAACCAAGATCGTTAACAGCCCTGGTGATTAAACGCACCTATTGAAAGACAATAGTAGTAGTAGCAAGGACAATGTGGAATTACTGATATGAAGTCAAAAATTAATCGTTCTATGCAGGGAAATTCCGTAAATGAAAACTGAACGTAAGACTTATTTTTGAAACAATTAGATTTTTGAAGGCGAATTTTTATTGTACGTTAAGAGTACACTTTGATGTAACACATCCTAAAAAACTGCAGAGTCCAGCTAACAACTTAGTTAATTTTCGCAATACATCGTTTTCACTATCTGGATTGGTTGAAACATTCGAACGTATCTTACCTACAAAATAATAACAATAAAGTACTGAAATCCATTCCATGCTAACTAGAAATGTAGATATTAGATGACTGGAGGCAATCGGAAGGAAGCCTTGGGCCTAGGTTTTGTGCTTGATGGCACACGTTAGCAAGGCTGACTGATAGAATTCAGTATTTGCCAAACAAAAGACTAGACGCATGACACTGGTTACCTAATACCTAATATCCAACCAAAGAATTGTAGACAGATATGACACAATAAATGATAGAAATAATAGTGAGTGTGAAAGATATTAGTCATCCAACCACACATAGCACACGCACTTTATTCTACAAAGCACAGCATGAAAAACATAAGAGATGGGAAAAGTCTGGAAAATATATCAAGGGTGCGGAATGGGGACAAACTAGTTACCTACCGTCATAATGTTGGAGAAGTCTATTCATGCGTAGGTCCCAAAGTTTCACAGAGGAATTAGTACTACCTGCTGCGAAACAATTGCCACTGGGGTGAAAATCTAAGTGTGAAGCAAAGCCATTTGTTTCGTGAAAAGTGTGCACACAGCTTTGTGTCTCCGTATCCCACAATTTAATAGTTTTATCATCTGATGATGAAATAATGAGACGTGAGTCAGGGGAAAATCTGATCCAGTAAGGTATTCAGTAGCTTACCGACAGCACCGCACCCAATTGACATGCTGATTTAGGGAAAACAAAAACTTCTGTCTGTGTAGATTCCAAACCTGAAGATCGAATAACCTTCAACCAAAATTTACCTTCACTGACTTATCCGAAGAAGCTGTACAAATCTTCAAGTCATCTGAAGAAATATCTAGCCAACGGACAGCTGCTGTATGTGCACGATATGTTATAGACTCTCCCTTTCTAAATGTTATTACTCTCAAGTCAATTTGGTTTTACATGCTCGGGACCCACAATTTCACTGTTTTGTCTCGAGATGCAGTGACAATTAGTTCACCAGTTGGGGAAAATCGAACGCAAAATATCGCATCTTTATGACCTGTAAATTTGTACGCTCTTGTCTGCGGCTTAATATTCCAAACCATCAAACAAGCATCCATAGAACAGGAAGCTAAAAAGTATTATGTTATTCTATCATGGTTACCAAGTTGTTTTCCATTTGGATTAAAGTCCACACATGTGATAACATCTTTATGCCCCTTAAAATGAATTTGCAAAGATGGATCTTCCTAAAAACTGTTTATCTGACGCACATTTAAACTAACCATGCCGAACGACCTTGCCGTTGCGAATGACTTTGAATGCAAACAAAATCGAATCCGCGCGTCTCCTAACTTCACCCTCACATAATTATTCTGTAGCACATGCTAACAACTAGTTTGAGCCAAATAAATGGTTATTGGGATATTTAAAATGACACTGTCCTATATTTTTTTCATGTGAGTGCAGTTACGATCACTTTTACAAGTTAGTAATATTCTCGTATTTCGGTCTTTATAAATGTGGTAGGTTAATATATCTATATAAATGCATGCAAAACTTAACTATACGACAATCCAGCTCCTTCTCAGGGGTTTCAGTCATTTTGGAGTAGAAAAATCAATACTTCCATGACTCTCAGAGTTAACGCCTATTCACAAATGAGTCCAACGTCTCATCTAATCATACAGGACATATTTCTGACCAAGGACCTAAGGATTGCAAGCTATTTTAATCTTTTTCGAGTTATCGACGTGTTTCCTCATTCCTATTTGAAAGGGATTAACTTATAATCCTATCGTCACTTTTCAGGGGAGTGAATCCTATAGTGACTTATCAACGACCTGCCCTGTCAACTGAATTGCTCTGCGCTTCTTTACGCTGTCGACGTAAAGATTTGGAGAGCAGTAAACTCATCGGAAGACTCCGACAGATTGCAGGCTGACCTGCAAACTCTAGGAGACTGGGCTCTGGCTAACGGAATGCCTTTCAACTTAAAGAAGTGCAAAGTAGTGCAACTTCATTCCGGCAGGTCACAGAGTGCAAATTACACCCTTGGTGGCCAGAACTTGAGTTGTGTGCCATCAGAACGCGATCTAGGCCTTATTTTAACAGAAAAGCTAGACACCAGTGTAAATTACACGAGGGACGTCGCCAAAGCTTACGCCACTTTACACTTTATGCATAGGCAGCTGGGAGCTCTTACTCCTGAACTATCCCTAACGTTGTATACGACATACGTGAGGCCACTCCTTGAGGTGCATAATATCATTGCTCCTCCGCTACTCAAAAGGGGTGCTAACATGCTAGAAAGTGTCCAGAGACGAGCGACAAAATGGGTGATCGGCCTCCGCAACAAATCATATGAGGAAAGACTGAAGAAATTAAGTCTTTTCACACTTAGTTACCGTAGTCACAGGGGAGACCTCATCACCGTCTATAAGATCTTAAATGACCAGGCCCACCCTAATAGGAGCATCCTGCCATTAAGTGATTATAGGCTTCCACGAGGTAACCCGCTAAGGATAGCACACCAGAGACCAAGGACTCGAGTGCGTTCACATTTCTTCTCGCTTCGAGTTCGCCGTCTCTGGAACGCTTTACCGGCGGCCGTAACTACAGCTCCATCTGTGGAGACTTTTAAGCGGAAGCTGGACAATCATGCAGAAATGCATGGTTTGTGTCTCAACCGCTTACCCTCTTAAAATTTGAAACCACATTGTCAATGGATAAGCATACAAGCTAAATCCCCACGACCCGTCCTGTCTTCTCCCACTGTACCTACTACTCTATCTTTTCTTTCTTTCTTTATTATTTCACCTTTATTATTTCACTTATCTCAACCTATATTATCTACACTACAACCTATTATTATTATCATTATTATTATGATTATTATTGTTATTACTATTCTACTTTTATGACTATACCGTATGACCAACGGGTGTTAGGTCAAACTTCATTCACGGCAGCAGCTGAGTCCCAACATACTGCACACTACAAACCACAATCTTGACCAATCCTCGCACCACTCCTCTTGGAGTCTACCAGAGCTGAAGCAGTCGAGTGGCGGGATTTACTACGCATAAGTTCACCGAAGATCTGGAACCTCCACCTTACAATCAAGAAGCGAGCTCAAAGAAATCACTGGTTTATACTAGCTCGTAATCAGGATATTGGATATTGGATCTCCATTACTGTAATCAACCCTTGCTATGTAGTTGAATGTCTGTCCCGTCCTACTGTGGGAGGGATTGTAGGGGATCAAGGATGTTTTCAGTTCAACTTAACCTCAGCCGTTTCACTGTCAACGCACAATTTGTTCATCATTGCAAACTGAAAGACATGGTGAATAAAATTCTCAAGAGACTAGAGCTCGGCAGCTTCGCTGAGTGGGGTTATCCGATTGTGCAGTCATCGTCAATAAATACACTTTTCAGCCACCATCAGTGTTATATTCTCCCTTCGCTAGTTGTGGTGTTTGGGGCAGTCGGACTACCAGGTTACATGAACCAGGCTAAAGAGTCAGAACACAGCGTGGCTACAGCTTAGGTCTGGCAGTAATGACAGCCAAACAACAATCGTGAGTGTTATTTCTAGCTGAAGCCAACTGGGAGCGATCTCGAATCTGTGCAAGTAGCAAACCAATGGGTTTACTAGAGGCCAATTACGCATAGTCCATGATGACTGAGCGTATCTGAATTAAACTTTTCTGCACGTATTCCCTAAGTTTCGCGTGTCTTCACAAATCGCTAAGTCCGGACACGTTGAGAAACGTGAAGAACTGCTTGGATTTACTTGTATGCTATCAAAGTCAGATCAATTGGATATCAGTCCTTTGACGAGACTTTGCAAACCTTTTGATTTCTTGGCAATCGTTTCTTAGAGACTAGATATCTTCAGCTCATTCCATTTCAGATAGTCTCCCTTCTGAGCAGATGCAGTTCTAATGAAAAAAGTAAGAGTAGGTGTGACAGTCTATTCTGAAGTAGGTGTACAGTTTACGCAATGTCACGGGTTCTCATGGAACTGACAACTAGTGATTCAATAGACCACATCAAGAAATATAGAGATATTGACTTCGCACTAACAAAAAAACCCAAGTATGCGTTGGATGGATTACAGATACTTGGGAAAATAAATAAACCTTGAAGTCAATTCCCTCATAAAACAATAAAATGCGTCTTACAATAATATATTCCCACTTTATGCAAATGAGGGACTCCAGTTTACAGGCATCATCAATATGATAATAATGCATACATGGAGTAAACATATTTAAAATATTTCACTAGCACAAGAATAAAAATGCAAGGGAAGATAATGGAATATTGACCGTAAGCACACTCTGCATAAGTTAAAACAATTTATATGGCATAATCCTAGGCACCATTATTGTTTGAATTTGTCGAAAATACATATAGTATTCACTCGCGAAATCTACAATCCGGAATCTTTTGATATCCTCTCTAACCGCGTGGAACTCAGGATTTTATCCACAGCAAGCACTGTTAAAGGAAAGTCTGACATTTTATTTTGCAATATATATATCTGCTTATCGTTGTTGTTTTGATACTTCGATAATACAGCTATCTTTTTTTATATCCTCAAGACTTTTCACCGGAAATAGTGAAAATTCTTGTTTCTGTAATGGTTAAGTCTATCAAACGTACGAGTACCATTAAGAGACTGAGATCTAATACGCGTCAGCCATCTGAAGGTCTCAGCTCCGTTAACGATTCTACACTTTTGACACCGGACACACCCAAAGTTATGGTATCTGATATCATGGAGGAACTGACAGAGAATGCAGCTTGTAGCGAAAATGATTTACTGACACTTCAGAAGTCAATAGCAGACCTACCGAGCAAGTTTGACAGCATTATGACCCTCACGCAACTGTGTGACCCATCACAAAACACATGTCTAGAATCACTTATCAAATCCGAGCGCATAATTGACTATTTGGCTGAAGAAGCTGTTAAGAGGATTATGTCATCACATAACGTCTTGGCCTATAACATTCCACACAGAGAGCCTATTGCCATACTTAAAACTTCATGTCTAAAGGCTTGTGATATGTCATTGACAGAATGTCAGGTTTTGCGTCTCCGTAAAAAATCTGCAAACCACTCATGTCTGGTGCTTTTCAAGTTCAGGTCTATTGAAGAATCCAGGAATTTTCTGAAAGCTGGTAAGATAATAAGCTCTTCAACACCCTACACTAACATTAGGTTTGCACCTGATTTGACACCATGCCAAAGACGATGCCGCTCAGGAACACTGAATACTGATAACTCTAATAGGACAACTGTAGATGATGTTCCATGCGTTATTCCGTCCACTGAAAAACCTGATGACCGCATGCATCAGACATTTTCTCAGGCACAGACTAACGTTAGCCAAGTACTATTTAACGATACTGATGCTGACACTGAAATGGTGGACATAGATGAGTCAAGAGAACATAATGTTGAAATACATCGTTTTCACTCTGACACAAAAGTCAAGAGCCAGAAAACATCAAAACCCACCCGACTGGTGTTCCACCCATCCCCTTATAGGTCAGTCACACCTCAGTCTGACGGTCCATCCACTGTGAACTACCAGTCGAACGTAGCTACCCAAGTTAGCAGGCTTTCTAAGCGTTATGACAAACGTCCCATTTGCACTAAGACAAGTAAAGCGCATGAGGTGTCCAAGCAACAGAAACCCTACATAGCATGTGCCGGCTGCCCTGTTAGCCATCATCAACCAGTTGATCATAAGAAAGGGGAAAAGAATTAAATGAATTAAATACTGAACCTGGAGCAAGAAAGCCCCTTGATATGATAGAGACGGAGGCACATCTAAGCCATCTTTCTAAGAGAAAGTCAAATAGGGTAGACCAAGCTCCTAGAGGTAGGCCTAATTGGTGTCAAGTGGAAAGCCAATTATGTTCAACCAGTAATTCTAGACAAACAGCACAGAGAGGTAGTGGTTATTATTCTGCTCATCCACTACGTGAACCCCTTGTTAGTCAGCCCCCTTCAAATGTTCTATCAAATGAAATTTATAGAAAATACCCCAAATATCGGGGATTATACTTGCAAAAAATCACCGAATACTCATATTGGTTATACCTACGGGCAGGATTTTCACCAGCGTCAGTTAACAGAAACACCTGGCATCATGTATATAGCACGCATGATATCGGATAAATTCCTTGCTGGCATAGCAAACAGCTAGGGCAAGGCATATTTCCCGGGAGATAGCTGACACAGTGTCGACACCAAACGCGGATACTAACATCTGTAAAATATTAATATCTGATTATCACACAGGTGTCTCTCACTGCATACCCTATTCGAACGAAAGACCA